CATGCACATTATTTCTGGATCTTGTTTGATGCGAGACGGCTATTTATTTAAATCGGAGAATAATGGTTGTTCTATTAATATGAGTAATATCTTTTATGGTCATGCACCCTTGAAGAGTGGTCTATTTTTGTTAAATCTCGATAGTAGTAATACACATATTCATAATGTTGAAGCCAAAAGATGTAGAGTTGATAATGATAGTGCAACTTATTTGTGGCACTGCCGTTTAGGTCATATCGGTGTAAAGCGTGTGAAGAAACTCCATACTGATGGACTTTTGGAACCACTCGATTATGAATCACTTGGTACTTGCGAACCGTGCCTCATGGGCAAGATGACTAAAACGCCGTTCTCCGGTACTATGGAGAGAGCAACAAATTTGTTGGAAATTATACATACAGATGTATGTGGTCCGATGAATATTGAGGCTCGTGGCGGATATCGTTATTTTCTCACCTTCACAGATGATTTAAGCAGATATGGGTATATCTACTTAATCAAACATAAGTCTGAAACGTTTGAAAAGTTCAAGGAATTTCAGAGTGAAGTTGAAAATCATCGTAACAAGAAAATAAAGTTTCTACGATCTGATCGTGGAGGAGAATATTTGAGTTACGAGTTTGGTGTATATTTGAAAAATTGTGGAATAGTTTCGCAACTCATGCCACCCGGAACACCACAGCGTAATGGTGTGTCCGAATGTCGTAATCGTACTTTACTGGATATGGTGCGATCTATGATGTCTCTTACTGATTTACCGCTATCATTTTGGGGATACGCTCTAGAGATGGCCGCATTCATATTAAATAGGGCACCATCAAAAACCATTGAGACGACGCCTTATGAACTGTGGTTTGGCAAGAAACCAAAGTTGTCGTTTCTGAAAGTTTGGGGCTGCGATGCTTATGTGAAAAAGCTTCAACCTGATAAGCTCGAACCCAAATCGGAGAAATGTGTCTTCATAGGATATCCAAAGGAGACTATTGGATACACCTTCTATCACAGATCCGAAGGCAAGACTTTTGTTGCCAAATTCGGAAACTTTCTGGAGAAGGAGTTTCTCTCGAAAGAAGTGAGTGGGAGGAAAGTAGAACTTGACGAGGTAACTGTACCTGCTCCCTTATTGGAAAGTAGTACATCACAGAAAACTGTTTCTGTGACACCTACACCAGTTAGTGAGGAAGCTAATGATAATGATCATGAAACTTCAGAACAAGATACTACTGAACCTCGTAGATCAACCAGAGTAAGATGCGCGCCAGAGTGGTACGGTAATCCCGTTCTGGAAGTCATGCTGCTAGATCATGATGAACCTACGAACTATGAAGAAGCAATGGTGAGCCTAGATTCTGCAAAGTGGCTTGAAGCCATGAAATCTGAGATGGGATCCATGTATGAGAACAAAGTATGGACTTTGGTTGACTTGCCCGATGATCGGCAAGCAATTTAGAATAAATGGATCTTCAAGAAGAAGACTGACGCTGACGGTAATATTACTGTCTACAAAGCTCGACTTGTCGCAAAAGGTTTTCGGCAAGTTCAAGGGATTGACTACGATGAGACCTTCTCACCCGTAGCGATTCTTAAGTCTGTCCGAATCGTGTTAGCAATTGCCGCATTTTATGATTATGAAATTTGGCAGATGGATGTCAAAACTGCATTCCTGAATGGATTTCTGGAAGAAGAGTTGTATATGATGCAACCAAAAGGTTTTGTCGATCCAAAGGGAGCTAACAAAGTGTGCAAGCTCCAGCGATCCATTTATGGACTGGTGCAAGCCTCTCAGAGTTGGAATAAACGTTTTGATAGTGTGATCAAAGCATTTGGTTTTATACAGACTTTTGGAGAAGCCTGTATTTACAAGAATGTGAGTGGGAGCTCTGTAGCATTTCTGATATTATATGTGGATGACATATTACTAATTGGAAATGATGTAGAATTTCTGGATAGCATAAAGGGATACTCGAATAAGAGTTTTTCAATGAAAGACCTCGGTGAAGCTGCTTACATATTAGGCATTAAAGATCTATAGAGATAGGTCAAGACGTTTAATTGGACTTTCACAAAGCACATACCTTGACAAAGTTTTGAAGAAGTTCAAAATGGATCAAGCAAAGAAAGGGTTCTTGCCTGTGTTACAAGGTGTGAAGTTGAGTAAGACTCAATGCCCGACCACTGCAGAAGATAGAGAGAATATGAAAGATGTTCCCTATGCTTCAGCCATAGGCTCTATCATGTATGCAATGCTGTGTACCAGACCTGATGTGTGCCTTACTATAAGTCTAGCAGGGAGGTACCAAAGTAATCCAGGAATGGATCACTGGACAGCGGTCAAGAACATCCTGAAGTACCTGAAAAGGACTAAGGATATGTTTCTCGTATATGGAGGTGACAAAGAGCTCATCGTAAAAGGTTACGTTGATGCAAGCTTTGACACTGATCCGGACGATTCTAAATTGCAAACCGGATACGTGTTTACATTAAACGGTGGAGCTGTTAGTTGGTGCAGTTCTAAACAAAGCGTTGTAGCGGGATCTACATGTGAAGCGGAGTACATAGCTGCTTGGGAAGCAGCAAATGAAGGAGTCTGGATGAAGGAGTTCATATCCGATCTAGGTGTCATACCTAGTGCATCGGGTCCAATGAAAATCTTTTGTGATAATACTGGTGCAATTGCCTTGGCAAAGGAATTTAGATTTCACAAGAGAACCAAGCACATCAAAAGACGCTTCAATTCCATCCGGGATCTAGTCCAGGTGGGAGACATAGAGATTTGCAAGATACATACGGATCTGAATGTAGCAGACCCATTGACTAAGCCTCTTCCACGAGCAAAACATGATCAGCACCAAGACTCCATGGATGTTAGAATCATTACTGTGTAATCTAGATTATTGACTCTAGTGCAAGTGGGAGACTGAAGGAAATATGCCCTAGAGGCAATAATAAAGTTATTATTTATTTCCTTATATCATGATAAATGTTTATTATTCATGCTAGAATTGTATTAACCGGAAACATAATACATGTGTGAATACATAGACAAACAAAGTGTCCCTAGTATGCCTCTACTTGACTAGCTCATTAATCAAAGATGGTTATGTTTCCTAACCATAAACAAGGAGTTTTTATTTTATTAACGGGATCACATCATTAAGTGAATGATCTGATTGACATGACCCATTCCATTAGTTTAGCACCCGATCGTTTAGTATGTTGCTATTGCTTTCTTCATGACTTATACATGATCCTATAACTATGAGATTATGCAACTCCCGTTTACCGGAGGAACACTTTGGGTGCTACCAAACGTCACAACGTAACTGGGTGATTATAAAGGAGTACTACAGGTGTCTCCAAAGGTAAATGTTGGGTTGGCGTATTTCGAGATTAGGTTTTGTCACTCCGATTGTCGGAGAGGTATCTCTAGGCCCTCTCGGTAATGCACATCACATAAGCCTTGCAAGCATTACAACTAATAAGTTAGTTGTTAGATAATGTATTACGGAACGAGTAAAGAGACTTGCCGGTGACGAGATTGAACTAGGTATTGGATACCGACGATCGAATCCCGGGCAAGTAACATACCGATGACAAAGGGAACAACATATGTTGTTATGCGGTCTGACCGATAAAGATCTTCGTAGAATATGTAGGAGCCAATATGGGCATCCAGGTCCCGCTATTGGTTATTGACCGGAGATTTGTCTCAGTCATTTCTACATTGTTCTCGAACCGTAGGGTCCGCACGCTTAACGTTACGATGACAGTTATTATGAGTTTATGCATTTTGATGTACCGAAGTTAGTTCGAAGTCCCGGATGTGATCACGGACATGACGAGGAGTCTCGAAATGGTCGAGACATAAAGATTGATATATTGGATGACTATATTCGGACACCGGAAGGGTTCCGGGGAAGTTTCGGATAAAACCGGAGCACCGGAGGGTTACCGGAACCCCCCGGGGGTTAATGGGCCTTATGGGCCTAATGTGGAGAAGAGGAAGGGGCTGCCAGGGCAGGCCGGGCGCCCCCTCTCCCCCTAGTCCGAATTGGACAAGGAGGGAGGGGCGGCGCCCCCCCCCTTTCCTTCTCTCCCTCCACCTCTCCTAGTTGGACAAGGAACGGGAGGGGAGTCCTACTCCCGGTAGGAGTAGGACTCCTCCTGCGCGCCTCCTCTAGGCCGGCCGCACCCCCCCTTGGATTCTTTATATACGGAGGCAAGGGGGCACCCTAGGACACAGAAGTTGATCTTCGTGATCGTTCCTTAGCCGTGTGCGGTGCCCCCTTCCACCATATTCCACCTCGGTCATATCGTAGTAGTGCTTAGGCGAAGCCCTGCGTCGGTAGAACATCATCATCGTCACCACACCGTTGTGCTGACGAAACTCATCCCCGAAGCTTTGCTGGATCGGAGCCCGGGGAGCGTCATCGAGCTGTACGTGTGCCAAGAACTCGGATGTGCCGGAGTAACGGTGCTTGGATCGGTCGGATCGGAAGACGTACGACTACTTCCTCTACATTGCGTCAACGCTTCTGTTGCGGTCTACAAGGGTACGTAGACAACACTCTCCCCTCTCGTTGCTATGCATCATCATGATCTTGCGTGTGCGTAGGAATTTTTTTGAAATTACTACGAAACCCAACACCAACTTGGGTCGTATCTGAAGAAGGAGGGGGTGTTAGCGTCCCAGCTACACCTGGGCCGAGAGAAGCCACGGTACCGAGCCGGCCCAGAAGGGAGAGGAGGCCTTGCCACAAGTTTACTGGACCCCAATGGATCTCCTACATGTTCAGCTCAGGAGACCACGTTGCAGAAAGATATAAGGCAGGTAGCAGGTAGAGAGCGGGCATCCCGACTAGGATCAGGCGGCGGCGGCGGCGTGTGTGTGTATCTCTCTGTAATCCTAATCCCCTTCTCATCTCCTTCCCCAGTTGTACTGCTACCTGATTCAGATCACCATAGTTGAGAGGAGAAGAACTAGTGTGTACCTAACATACTACTACTGGCTCGAGAAAAGAGAGCTCCAGCAAGAGCCTCCGCCGGAGCCCCGGACATCGACATGGGTGACCGTGGAGAAGCTAACCGCTGAAGTCGTGCAAGTGGCAGAGCATCCGCCGCCGTCGTCTTCTTCTTGCCTCGGCTCTGGCTTGAAGCACATGTTCAACCCGCCGGCGCACGGGGAGGACTACTCCATCCCTCAGGCGCTGGTGAGCGTGGACATGCTGGTGCTGTTCCTGGCCACCATCTGCGGCGTGGGCGGGACGCTGACGGCGATCGACAACATAGGGCAGATCGGGCAGTCGCTGGGGTACCCGGCGCAGAGCGTCAACACCTTGGTCTCCCTCGTCAGCGTCTGGAACTACGCCGGGCGGGTGACGGCCGGGTTCGCGTCCGAGGCCCTGCTGGCGCGGCACGGCGTCCCGCGGCCGCTGGCGCTCACGCTGGTGCTCCTCCTCTCCTGCGCCGGCCACCTACTCATCGCGCTCGCCGTGCCGCGGTCGCTCTACGCCGCCTCCATCATCGTGGGCTTCTGCTTCGGCGCGCAGTGGCCGCTCATCTACGCCATCATCTCCGAGGTGTTCGGGCTGAGGTACTACGCCACGCTCTACAACCTGGGCGCCGCGGCCAGCCCCGTGGGCGCCTACGTGCTCAACGTGTGCGTCGCCGGGCGGCTCTACGACGCGGAGGCGGCGAGGCAGCGCGGGAACGGCGAGAGCAGGACGTGCATGGGCGTGCGTTGCTTCAGAGAGTCGTTCCTCATCGTAACGGCCGTCACCGTGGGCAGCGCGCTCGTGTCGCTGCTGCTGGTGTGGAGGACCTGGAGCTTCTACAAGGGAGACATCTACGCCAAGTTCAGGGATGCCGTGGCCGTCCAGGAGTCATCCCACGGTGCTTGCGCGGTTCAGCAGCGGTAAACACCAAGGAAGCACAAAACCTCTACTTGCTAGACTCACGGACGGTTTTACGTGCCTAGGTCTCAGTTGACGAGACTTCAAATTTAAGTCAATTGATATGGCATGTAAAAAAATGCTAATAAAAAATTTGCATGAATTTTCACATAAGATCCCACGAATATAACATCAGCTAAGGCTTATTTAAGTTTCAGTCGACTCAGATTTAACAAATCCTGTTTTTGCCACCTGCTCCGCGCCCCCATGCCTCTGACCGCCCTGACCTCGTCCACTCACGGTCAGTGTCGTCGCCCCGGCCTAGGCGATCCGAAGGGAAGTGACTCGTCCGCAGCGGCCTCATGGGGGAAGGAAGGAGGCACCGATCGTTGCCGCCCCGTTGCACCGGGCAGTCGGGAGTGATGCTCTATGTTTGATCTTCGTGCTTTTTGCTTTATGTTTGATGTCTGTGTTTAAGTGCATATTTAATTTTTATGTTATGTTTATTTCAAATCATTTGAAGTATTTGTTATGTCTACTTTGAATCAAACACTGTATTTTTTACGTTTCAATTTCATTTTGCATTTTAGATCTAATTTCACAAATTGTGGTTTTGAAATGATGCTCTATTATGTGTGTTGCTCTGCCCATGGTGGCGAGTGTCTTCGTCGACTTAAAACCGGCCCAGTCCAAGGAATGTTTGCTCAAAGAAAACAAGGAATAGAAAAGGACATGGATTTCGTCTGAATTTTGATAGATGTTCGATAGTGATGCAAATTACTAAACAAAAGACAGTTATTTGAGATAGTTTCACTATGTAGGAAATCATATACTTCAACGGATTTAATTTTACAAAATTAACAAAATTTCGTAACTCTTATGTCATTTGATTTTGCTCGGAGATTCATGTTGGTTTTTCTAAGTAAAAAAGCAAAATTTTCTGATGGTTAAAACGGTATATCAAATCAAACTAATCAAAGCAAAGGCAAACACCAAAAATCCATGGTAGAACTTAAAGTCACATTATGGTTTTTGAAGTCGCCGTCTCTAGTTTTACCTTTTACATCTTGACTTCCCACCATGGCTCGGGTGAAAGTCCGGAAAAATACGAAACATGCACAATCTACAGTAACCTCAAAGTTATTGAATAAACACTTGAGCTAGCCATATTAATAGGTGAGAACCTGATATCACTAAACAAACCTCTACTTGGGACAGACCCTTTTGCATGACATTCGTGAAACAACTGATTCATCGCAATATTGTCAATGAAGAAGATCGGGAGCCCAAAAATTGAAACGAGAGAACCACTTGCCAAAACTCATTCGACACCATCATTGCCGCCGAGAAGGGCCTAAGCAGAGGGCGAAAATCCAAAGGATTTGAGATCATCAATTAGTGGGACCAAACACCACATGCTTTCTAGTGTTTGCAATGTTGTTCGTAAAACTAATAGCCGTGTGACTTTGATGTGAGACACCGCTTTTATCGTTGTGACACCGTAGTCAAAGACACACAAATCTAGCATCGTAGAAACTGTAATTGCATTTCAACGTGCATCCTTGGGTTCTCTTCACCTCCTGTGGTGGCTTAGAGGCCATAAGACAAAGGAAACTAACAAACACAAGCGAAAAAGAACGAATAATAACTCTTTGACAGCTAGGTTCAGCACAAGAAGCCGGGGGCTAGGTTCAACACAAGCGAAAAAGAACGTTTTTATTTAATAATATGGCCGCATGCATCGATTGATGCAGAGGCCGAGGGTTATCCTTCTTTTTAGAAAAAAAAAGAGGTTCAACACAAGAGACAATCCAATCATCGTACGAACGAGAAAATCTCCCAACATTCTAATATAGAACTAGCATGATGCTTCGAGGTTTGGACGATGTAGGGTAATTTCATTTTGTTTGTCTGTATATACAATGAGAGGCCGGCATGAACTATGCTGACCTGGTCTTTTGCAACCGGAGCTACTCCTTTTTTTCTTTGCGGCAACCGGAGCTACTCCTTAATTTTCTTCCAAACAATAAACTACATTAATTGGACTTCATTTGACCAAAGTCTTACTACAACTGATTGGCAGCTTGGAAAGAAAATTGCCACGTTCCCCTTCTCAATCCAAACGAAGTAAACAAATTAGGCACAACTCGTAGCAAAGATTCGTTGGTATTTTTATTTTTGATGGGAAGATCCATTGGTGCTAACAAACCACAGGTGACCAAATGGCAAATGCTAGACCATGCTTAGCTAAGCGAGGCCTCACTTAATTGTGTTTTTTCTTTCTTCATTGTGCTCTTTCCGTGCATGACTTGTTTATGTCACGTAATCGTTCTCGGGGTACCACATTATTTTCTTCTATTAATACAAAGATACACAACCAACATTGCATATATTCCGAAAAGATCGATGACAAATATCATTTGAGACACGGGACACAGTTGTGCGTCCAAATTAATGAGAATCCAGTCAGTATACACCTAGCCAAATCTCGGTAATATACAGAACACACCCTGAAGTTTCGCTCGAGTTAGTTTGGAGTTCCCGTCTACCAATCTTTGTTCGTTTAAGTCCACACATTTTCCCAAAATCTTTATTCCGGCATTGTGAAATGCACAACACATTTTGATTGATTCATGATTTTTTTTTTCTTTCTACTCTTGTTTTCCCAAACGAGGGAAACGAGCTGCAAAAGCCAGAAATAGTCTTGAAAAGAAAAAGCTCCCATTTTTAGTCGCCCCTAATCCCCTAGCGATATATGGAGTCCACACCCTCAAAGTTTTCCTATTTCCACTCCCCACCCTCGCCACCACCTCAAAAAAAGGAAAACACCAACCCGCTCGTGAGCGCCACCACCACCGTTTGGAGGAGAAGGAAGAGCGCCCCTCTCCTCTTCCACCGATTTCTTCCCCCCCAATCCACCCGCGATCGTGCCTCCCCCCTGTCGCCGCCTCCTCCCGGGCGTTCCAGCCGTGTTCGGGTCGCCTGACCCGGGGCTTCTATGGCGTCGCCGGAGCGGGAGGCGGTGGCGGCGACAGCCATCGTGGAGGACATGCTGAGGATGCACGGGGAAAGATTAGGGGGAGGAGGGGGTGTAGGCGAAGTGCTGGTGATGGGGAGGAACATTGACATGGCCTGGCGCAAGGCCGAGGTGGCCGGTGAGCTGTTCTCTTGGCTCCTTCCCTTCTTCATTAGGGGCTTATAATCTTTTTGATTTCGTGAAATCTTGTACTCCCTCTGTAAACAAATATAAGAGCGTTTAGATCACTAAAGTAGTGATCTAAACGCTCTTATATTTCTTTATGGAGGGAGTACTAGTTGATTGATGATGCTTGGACCCGGGTACATCTCAACCAAGGATTGAATTACACTTTTGGTCCATACGTTTAGTGTTTTCTTTCTGGGCTGGAGCTTAGATTGTGCTCAAACAGTGGCAGCCACACCTTTAGCCGACATCTAATGAAGAATTACAGTCTTTTGCATGTTCAGCACAACGAATTCATCTTTACTTGTTACCGGCAAGTGGAGGAAAGAATTAGAAGAAAACCTTGTTCG